CATGCAGCTATCACCAACTTACTTACTTTTATAGTTTCACTCCAGAGACCACGAATCTTGCAGTGTTTTATGGGCTACTCTGAAAGCCACCAACTAAATTACAATAAAATGAGCATGTCCACATCTCAAAATCTTTTCCTCTTTGAAAACTGGCAGTTGTAGGAAGTGCTGGTTTCCTGATCCAGGTCTTATGTGTCTGACGTAACTCTTGATCACTCTCAGCTGAAGCTGCCCTTTAAGAAACTTTTTGGTTAAACAATAAACTTAGTATCATCTCCACTTTCCTATACCATTTCTTTATTTCCTTTGGTGCTAGACTTCTTTAATTCCCAAGTTACAGTGCAAAATTATACTTCAAGATACATGATGCTAACACATTACTTCGTGTTAAAATGTGAATGTTTTGTGTATAACAAAATACGTATGAATCCAAAAAATAACTGTTCACATTTTATCTTCAAGTTTAATGTCTTTTTCCTCATCACAGCTATTTACAAATAACTTTGGGGTGCTCTTTTGATTTCAGTCAGTTTATTGTATCATGGGACAACAGGGCTGCTGGAATGTAGGAAACTGTATGGAATGCAGAAATATAAACAAGACCAATGTTCTATAAACCAAAGTGTAAGTAATGCCTCCCCAGAAAACAGTTCTTGTCACAGAAGCACCTGTTTTTTTTTCTGAGTTATATATACCAGAAAACATGATTATTGAGACCCAGAACTATGCACACCAAAGAGGATAGAAAATAACTCAATATTTATAATTTAAAAAGTGTTTAACCACAAAAAAGCAGTAATAAAATAGTTTCCTAATTTACAATTTGCATCCAAAGGATGAATAACAACTCACTAATAAATAACATTTATATAAATATTTTGTATGTCGAAAATAGATTTTTAAAAGGCAATGGTCTCAAGAAATCTCTTGAAAAATTTGGTGATGAAAAACTTGATCGAGTCCCCCCTCATCCCCCCCACTAAATATACAATGAGTTTGGCTTTAGTGAAACAAGTGCATGTTGCTGCAAAATAGTTGTGCTTGGTATTTTGGTAATGGCAGTGGGTGAGCATGGAAGGGGTGCAGGAGGTTGTAAAGGCATTGATGTGCTGTTAGTTCTTCGTAACCAGCTCCCTCACTGGCTTCAAGATAAATACCTGCCACATCTTAATTTCGGAGGTCAGTTCTGAAAGGTAGAAAATCTTCTCTTAGGTCCTCCCTTAAATGCAACTAGACTCATGAACACAGGCAATGGGTGGGAGGATGGGGGAACTGGTGCCGAGAGCAGAGTTCAGGATCTCTGATGGGAGAAGGGTTTGGGCCGACCCAAAGGACAGGAGTTGGTTTCATGTGAATACAGCCTTCGTTATAGTCACATCTAGCAATGCTTGAACAGTAATGCCCACTTTGACCAGGCCTTTCTCTTCAAGGATGTGATGGGGTAGACATAGTTTTTCCTAAAAGAAAGAACAAACATCAATTTTTAATGACTGGTACCTAATCATAAAATCTTGCAACAGCACTGATGGCAGTTGAGCTCAGACCATGTTCCCTTTCTTGTTTTCAGGCCATTACATAGAACTTTACTGTGTTTGCAGAGAAAATAATGACTTTACACAAATAAGGGTTTATCCAAAAAAGTGCCCAGTCATCCTGAAATCTGCAATAGATCTAAACATTGAATAAAACTTTATACTGAATAACTGAACCATACACAGTCAGCTAGAAACCACACATCAAGGGCATATTAGCTTATATTCTTTTTTTTTAAGCATTCTTTATGATTCCTCTTTTTTTTTAATTTCAGAGAGGAAGGGAGGGGGAGAGAAAGATAGAAACATCAATGATGAGAGAGAATCATTGATTGGCTGCCTCCCGCATGCCCCACACTTTGGATCAAGCCTGCAACCCAGGCATGTGCCCCCCACCAGACTCGAACCTGGGACCCTTCAGTCTGCAGACTGACGCTCTTATCCACTGAGCCAAACTGGCTAGGGCAGCTTATATTCTTATAAATCGAAGTTGCAAATAGCCTTTCACACATTTCTTAAAAAAATATATATTTCTTTACTGACTTCAGAGAGGAATGGGGGAGGGAGAGCAATAGAAATATCAATGATGAGAGAGAATCATTGATAGGCTGCCTCCTGCACGCCCCCAACTGGGGACCAAGCCTGCAACCCAGGCATATGCCCTTGACCGGAATCGAACACGGGACCCCCCAGTCCACAGGCTGATGCTCCATCCACTGAGCCAAACCGGCCAGGGCCCTTTCACACATTTTTAAAGGAACTCAAATACTCATTTATACAGCTCACACACTGTTCTATTGACCATGAACTTTAGGTCAATATATTTTATTTCCTATGATCTCTGGAATGGAGACATGCTGGTGGATTGGTATCCTTTTTTTTCCTGGTTTATGAACAGCCTTATAAATAAGCAATTTTAATAGCCTCTCTTTAAGTCTCTTTCATACTGCTGTCAAAGACACAAACATCCTGCTACTTTCTCATGTTGTAATTTTGCTCTTAGGAAATGTCCAGCATATACAACTCAAGGAAAACAATTAACACGAGTCACTCCCGGTATGTAGAACCTTGCATGCAAAACAGTTTATAAAATAACATGATGAAGTAATTTTACGCCTTTGTCATTTGGCTCCGGGGATGAGGGAATCACTTTCCAGAGCATGACTCCTTGGCTCAGAAAAGACTCCACAGCAAACACTGCCTCTTTTCTACTCCATGATGGTTGTTTCTCCACAGCTCAATGACAGCTGTTTCTAAGGAAAGTTTAAATGGAGACAGTGTTCAACAGGAACAAATCAGGGTCTCTGGACAGACTACTTCCTTTTCATGTGACGCTTGCTTGAGGAACTAGATCTTCCTGTTGCCTTAATGGTAGGACTCTCCACAAATTAGTACAGATACAGGCCTTCTGGTTTCAAAAAGACCTTCAAAGAACACACCAGGACACTTCTAATAACTTGTTGCACTGCCTCAAAATGTCAGTTTTCCTACACTGTCTCAATCATCTTCCTACCCCCACCTCTAACTCCTTCCCTAACTTGAGGTAAATTCAGAGTATCTCAGAGACTAACTCTAGGTCTTAAGAAGTAGCACATTGTCAACATAAGACAGCTGATTACTGAAAGCACAATTCAACCATTATTTCATGTGGCTGCTATGCATTGAAATACAATTCTCTTGTGGCCAATGGCATATTAGGTGGGCATGCAAGTTATGCTCCTTGCCAACTTAGTAGCTGAATGTTAACCAAGAAAAAGGATGGGAGGTCCTATCTGAGTTGAGCTTTGCACTGGGCCAGGATGGGCAGTGTGCTTCCTCCTTGTGCCATAGCTGGAGGTCAGTCTGTACCCTTTCCTGATGCCACAGGCTTTGAAGTCACCCAAATCTGGCATTTTATTGCTAAGCTTGGTTCCATTGGGGCAGGGATGTGCTTTTCTCATTCTTATGACCCTCATAGCACCCAAGTCAACACCTGGTTTGGTAGGACATGACCACAAATATGGTTAAGCTCTTAGTGCAGGGCATTTAGTTGGGGGAAAAATAAAATTTTCACTTTACAATCTATGTTAAAATCAAACTGAAATGAAATAAAGAGTTAATTGTTTGTTTTTAAAAACCTCTCCTAATAAGATATAGATGAATATATAGTACTATCTTTTATTGTCTAAGCTAAAAAAGAAATATAAAAATATCATGAGAAAATATAAAAAAGTCATTGCTTAAAAGTTTAAAGCCTGCATTTGTCAAAACCCACTGCATTAATTAAAAGATTAAAAAAACTATAAAAAAGTATTTACATCAAATTACAAGTGTTTTATATGACTCATAATCGCAATAAATCAGTAAGAAAAGCATTAAGAAACGGATGGAACATTGGACAAGGAACACAAATAGAAATTTAAAAATGAAGGTTATGCCCAAGGCATTTTGAACAAGACATTTTGCTTCTCAACCTCAGTGTTTACTTATGCTTAGTCCTGAATGTTCCTGAATTCTAGTGTTATTTCCATAGGGCCTAATCTCTATGTACATGGCTTTTACAGGGCCAGATGTTCTATCCTGCATCCTGCTTGAGATGGAACAGATCTCCATTAATAAATGTCCCAGTCCCCTTGATGAGCAGTGGCTCCAGTGGCTGAAGAGGTTCCAAGCTAATGGTCATGGAGACATACCAGACTGATTTAGCTTAAGGTCATCATCTCTCCCGGGCCTTTATTTCTTAAACCAGCATTTCTCACCTTCCTGGTCTCCCCGGAGCCCTTACAACTGGGAATGAGAACCAAATAGAAGACATAAAAAGGTACTCCATACATCCTAGTGCATTTCTCCTTTCACTCAGACCCTCTGAAGAACCCCAGAAGTACCCTCAGATTACTCTGATGGGTTTGGAGGTACTAAGAAGAGTAGCATAAGATAATAGAAACCCTCTCACACAACATGGCAGCTCCATTATTTTATCACAGGACTGTGGTGAAGATTGATGAGAATTACGAGTTTAGGCACTGGTTGGCAAGATGAGCAAGGGGAGCCTGCCAGAAATGAGGAGGGGTAACAACGAGGACCAGGAAGCCATTGTCCATCACCCTGGTCCTGCCACAGAGGAGGGAATTCCTGGAGTGAGCTAGAGGTTGAGATGGGAAATGAACTGCTGTAGATTTATAGCTGGTTGAGAAATGACAGAAAAGGGCCACCTCACCTTGTATATAAGAGTTAAAGCTGAGATCTTGTACCTTTACATTGACTTAAAATACATTTAAATTTTAATGTTAGAGGAGCCTAATGGCTTTCCTTGAGAATATGGCAGCACACTGTTCTAGTATACCCATGAGCTTCTTTGGTCCTTTTTTTTAAAAAAAAAACAAAACACAGAACAGTCATAATTACTATCTTGCATAACAATAATGCTTTTGACTCCCGCTGAAGAAATCATGCTTTGTTTTTTTTCTCTGATGGTGGAGTCAATGAGGTTCACTCATCCCCTCACCCGCCCCTCTGTGAACCACAGCAAACAGGGCTGGCAAAGGCAGGCACACCATAAAGACTACATGCTAACTTAGACTTCCTGGGTACCTCCTAGATGTCTGGCACCAATGCTCCAGATCTGCATTGATTCTTTCTTTCTGACAACCTTGTCAGAAAGACATAATACCTTGGTTTTACAGATAAGAAAACTGAGATGTAGAGTGTTTAAGTAAGTTCACTGAAGTCACACAGATGGTAAGAACTGGAACCAGATTTGAACATGTGAATCATATTAGAGTTGAGGCTCCTTCCAGACATCATGCTGCTTCTCATAGTGTCTTTGACCAACAGCAAGTATGTTCCGTCTTGTGCCCATGAGACAGAAGAGGCTCTGGACCCTCAGAGTCCTATCTAGGCAAGACCCAACACATTCAGCATCAGGTGCCGGATCAGAGAACCCTCAACTTGGCGAAAGGCATTAGCTCTGCCACTCAGCTCATCTGGCTCCTTTTCACAGTGAGGGGCAGGAGCAGGCAGACTGCACACTGTCACTGCCTGGCTGGCTCCTCTTTCCATGGTCCCTTATTCTCCCAAACAGCTACACGCCTACTTCCCAGGCCAACTATTGGACAAAATGAAGTCATTCACATCAGCACATTTTACCTAAAATGTAAATGCCTGGCACTAACTTGATTGAAACTTGAAACAAAATGGTCTCCAGTACTTTAACATAAGGGAACTTCATGTTCCTGCTCTGCCACATGAGCTCTCTGAGGAATGAATAAATGAACACAAGCATAACCAAAATTGTGGTGAAAATCCAAAGAACTGGACTGTGATAGTTAAAGAAGGCAAAAAAGCGCACACTCTATATACCTGGTTGTTTATTGAGAAGTAATTTTAAAATGTGAAGCCTAATTTAAAGAAAAAAATCTCCTAAATAAAATCACCAAAATATTTTTCATCTAATCAGAACTCAATTTAGACTCCTGAAATTTTAACCCATTGTACATTACCTTTACCCTGAAGATGAAACAACTTTTGTCCTTATGACTTTTTCCTTTTACAGCAGCAGTAGGTATGGATTATAGAGAGAATCCAAACCACCAAGCACTAAATTTAATTTCTTACTCACAAATGGTATCAGGATATCAAGTGCCTTTACTTATCTACTCTCACTGATGAAATTCCTACTGAATTATCTTACTTTTGAGCTCCGTAGGACCCCTTTTTCACACGCCCTATTTCATAAGTGTCTCTCCCAGAGGACAGTAAGCTGCATGCAAACCACAAATCCATAAACAGAGGGAACAATAGGAATTAGTTATCACACATTGTAGAAATCCTGACAGTGAGTGGTGAGTTGCCACCATTTGGAGGAACTAGAGAAAGAGAGAACCTTCTATTTCAAATAGATCAGTCTGTTTTTGTTTGTTTTTTAAAGTAAATAAGTACTTGGTTCT